CTCGCCAAGTTGCCCAGGCGGGTCTCAAACCCGCGGGCTCAGGCAATCCACTTACCTCAGCCTCCCAAAGGCGCAGGATTACAGGCTGAGCCACCGAGCCCGGCTGAGACTTTTTTAATGCTCAGAGAAGTTAAGAAACTTTTCCAGAGTCAAACAGTAGCAGAGTCAAGACTTGAACCCCAACCCTAAGTGTTTAATCACCATATCAAATCCCTAATGTATTTGTCTAATAAACTGAATCTCTTTGGTTTGGGTGTCTACTTTTCTTTTGGGTGGGGTAAGGGGACAGGGTCTCACTTGTAACCCAAGCTGGAGTACCATGGCAGAATCATGGCTCACTGCAACCTTGAACTCCTGGGCTCAAGCGATACTCCCTCCTCAGCCTCTCCAGTAGCTGGGAGTACAGTCAGGCACCATTATGCTCACTGCAACCTTGAACTCCTGGGCTCAAGCGATACTCCCTCCTCAGCCTCTCCAGTAGCTGGGAGTACAGTCAGGCACCATTATGCTCAACTAATTTTTAAAATATTTTTGGAGAGACAGGGTCTTGGTGTGTCACCTAGGCTTGTCTCAAACTCCTGGCCTCAAACAATCCTCCTGTCTCAGTCTCCCAAAGTGCTAGGATTATAGGTGGGAGCCACTACACCTAGCCCTGGGGGTTTACTTTTAAAGGGGGCAGCCAAGTTCAGTGGCTCTCATAGTGCTGTAATCCCAGCACTTTGGAAGGCCAAGGTGGGAGAATTGCCTGAGCCCAGGAGCTCAAGGCCAGGCTCGGCAACATAGTGAGACCTCATCTCTGCAAAAAATAAAAAAAATTAGCTGGGCTTGGTGGTATGCACCGGTAGTCCCAGCTACCTGGGAGGCTGAAGTGGAAGGATCTCCTAAGCCCAGGGGGTCAAGGCTGCAGTGAACCATGGTGTACTTCTGCACTCCATCTTGGGTGACAGAGTCTTCAACTGTAAATAAATAAATAAATAAATAAATAGGGTACCATGATTCCTAGGGGGCACTATCTATCCCTACTTCCTGACTTCCCATCTGCACTGACCAGGGCAATCCTATTCTTAGACTCTAAGGACTCCAGAGAGGTCAGCCTGTCCCAGCCTCAGTCTTGGAGTTGGCCTGCCTGTCCCTCCCATTTATGAGGTAGCCCCCAGAGACCTTACTCTGGGCCAGAAAT